AGTTTTTAAGAAGAGACTGGACAGCCATTTGTCCGAAATGGTATAGGGTTTCCTGCCTGAGCAGGGGGTTGGACTAGATGACCTTCAAGGTCCCTTCCAACTTTACTATTATTATTATTATTATTATTATTATTATTATTATTATTATTATTATTATTATTATTATTATTATTATTATTATTATAAAGGTTCTGGCGACCCTCGCTGCACACCTGCGGACAAATCCAGTGTGCATCCAGTGCTACCTGGACGACATTCTCATTCAGTCCTCATCAGTTCAGGCGGCACAGGCAGACATAGCACTGACCCTAAAGGTTCTTCAGAACCATGGGTTCTCAATAAACTTTCAGAAGAGTCAAACGGTCCCATCGACCCATCTGCTTCATTTGGGAGCAGTAATACACACATTAAGGTGCGAGGTCTACCTCTCTCGAGAACGCAGGAACAGCATTCAAGCCCTGGTCAGGCTAATCCGAAGAAGGCGGACCACCACACTGGCCACGCTCTCCAGCTTACTAGGGAAGATGATATCATGCATAGCGATCGTGCCGTGGGCACGGCTACACTCCAGAGACTTGCAATGGTTCCTACTCCCATTCCAGAAAGAGGGAACCGGCGCCTCCAACTGAAAGTTGAAGGTACCACCAGGAGTCATAAATTCGCTAAAGTGGTGGTTGTCTCCAGCGATGACAAGGGGACACATGTTCAAGGAGACCGTCCGAGTCACCCTGACCACAGACGCCAGCCTATTCGGTTGGGGAGCACATCTTCAATCCAAGTTGGCACAGGGCCAATGGTCCAAGAGGGATCTGAAACACAACATAAACTGGTTGGAGCTCAGAGCCGTCATTTTCACAGCGCAGTGACGAATCAACACGTTCTAGTGCTCACGGATAACATGGCAGCCAAAGCCCACATCAACCGGCAGGGGGGCACGCGGTTGAGGGCCCTCATGACCGAGGCCAAATCGCTGGGAGCCTGGGCCGAGAACAACCTAGCCTCAGGGCAGAGCACATATCAGGAGAGGCAAATCAACAGGCGGATTCCCTGAGCAAAGCAACAATAGACCACTCAGAGTGGAGCCTACACCCTACTTTCTTCAGGGAAGCATCAGCTCAGTTTGGTCACCCAGTACTGGACCTGTTTACCAGCCCCAAGAATGCTCAGCTCCCAAGATTCTTCTCCCGCTTCCCGTCTCCAGGAGCGGAGAGAGCAGATGCCCTCCAGGGACATTGGCCGGAGGGGTTACTATACGCCTTCCCCCCACTTCATCTGATTCAGGCAACCATCAGGAAGATATTGCAGGAACAAGCAGAGGTGATACTCATTGCACTGCACTGGCCAAGACGGCCATGGTTTGCCGACCTCGTAAGTCTTTCTGCATCCCCACCATGGAGGATTCCGCACAATCAACTCTCCCTCAGTCAGGGGGCGCTACTTCACCCAGAACCACAGTGGCTCCAATTAACCGCTTGGCACTTGAGCAGAGCCTCCTAGAAAGGGAAAGCTTTTCGCAGAGTCATTAGGACACTTCTGGCCTCAAGAAGGTCCTCAACGAACAGAATTTATGACTCCACTTGGAGAAATTATTACAGCTGGTGCACAAGGCAGCAGCTAGACCCTCTTAGTATTTCTATCCCGAGGATCTTAGACTATCTAGCGGAGGGTCTGGACAAGGGCTTAGCACCAAACACAATTTGTAGGCAGGTGGCCACCCTATCCTCTATCCTTACATATGGCAACTCTGAACCACTAGCCAAGCACCCGGCAGTGCGGGTCTTCATTAAGGGCGCAACAAACAGCAGACCACCCGTGGTACACAGATATCCCTCTTGGGATCTGTCCAAGGTCCTGCAAGCCATTACCTCACCTCCATTTGAACCTGTCAGGACATGCACATTACAATTTTTGACTCTTAAGGACGCATTCCTGATCGCAGTTACCTCAGCTAGGCGCATTTCAGAGTTGGCAGCACTATCAGTTAGAGAGGATCTCTGTACCTTCCACACGGACAGGGTGGTCCTACAATTAGACCCCTCCTTCGTTCCCAAGATTATCTCCCTGTTTCACAGAACACAGGAGGTGGTGCTACCAGATTTTTGCCCTCAGCCCTCCCATGAATTGGAGCGCAAGTGGCATACCTTAGACGTTCGGAGGGCCTTAAGGCGATACATTAAGCGAACGGCACCCTTCCGCAAGTCGGAGGCCCTGTTCGTTTCCTTCCACTCACACACAAAGGGTCAAAACGTCACAGCTTCCACAATCGGTAGATGGATCAGGAAGTGCATAGCAGTGGTGTACCAGGGACAGTCGCTAGTAGTCCCCAGACAAATCACCACACACTCCACTCGCAGCGCTGCCACCACAGCAGCGTGGGTGACTCAGGCACCGATTGAGGAAATATGTAGGGCGGCGACGTGCGCGTCGCCTTCCCCCTTCATAAGACACTACAAGTTAGATAGGTTCGCATCTGCGGAGGCCTCATTTGGCAGGAGGGTCCTCCAGTGCGTAGTACCAGAAAGTGGGACACAGGCCCAGACTGCTCCCCTCCCACAGGGACAGTGAGGCTTTGGTACGTCCCATTGGTAGATTCTCCACTCATCATGCTGGAGAAGGGGCGTTGTCTTACCTGAACACCTTTTCTCAGCATGACGATGGAGAATCCACTCCCACCCTTAGGGCCAGTCAGGTCCTGTGCAGGGCAGAGGATTGAGCCAACAAATGAAATCTTAGTCAGCAACTTCACCTCAGTCGAGAACTGGGGAATGGAGGTCCCTGGAAGAGGCGGAGCAAAATTGACTGACTTAGTCTATGGGCAGAAGACAAGCATAACCCATTGGTGGATTCTCCATCGTCATGCTGAGAAAAGGCGTTCAGGTAAGACAACGCCCCTACTCTTTGCTTTTTTCTTGAAGGCAGAACAGATCTGTTAATACACCTAGAGCTTGTATGATGAAAGGGACAAGAGAAAGCACATACAGCCTGCTTGTTCAAACATGTTGTGCATCATTTATTATATGTGTTGATCTGAATTCCCCACCCATTCTCTAACATATCTTTGTCAGACTTCTGCTAAGCCTGGTAGTAAAACCTCCTATTTACTTTTTTTTTCAGACATCCTGGTTCTCCCCTGCTTACCATATGCCCATGTGCAGGAAGCACCTTCACACCACGGCATCCCTCACCCCAACAGACTGGTTGCAGGAAAAACAGGTGAGCTGTTACTGAAGCAATGACGTCCTATTACTTAAACCAAAGCTTACTGTGTGTAAAACCAGTCAGTAACTAAACTTCTGGAGATTTTTGCAGAGTTGCCTGCAAACTGAAGATACAAAATAATATTCAGAATGCTTGATGACTTACTCAGGGAGCAACTGTAGCACTGGGCTAATACTTCTGTTGCATGTTTTCACCTCTTCAGTAAAAGATAAAAGTGTGGTATTTTGAAGCTTGAGACTTTCCTAAGGCTCTTAGACTGTGGAGAGGCCAAATATTTTAGTTTCTTTCTTGCCAAGTTGTGAGGTTTCCATACTTTTTTCCTTTTTAACTTTTTTTTTTATCATTCACAGGTCTTTTACACCCCAGGGAAGTCCCAACCTTAGTTGCATTAGTCTGAAGTCCCCATGCAGCAGCCCCACTTCATCAAACATATTACCTGCGAATAGCTTGCAGCACACACCAGCATATGAGGATACAGAAGATGAATGGGAATCGGTTTTACCTCAATGCTCAAATAAGTGCTCCACTTTTGAGCCAAAAAAATTGTTAAACTTATTTGAGGATTCTCTGGCATCTCAGCAAAAATGTCAGAGCTGATGGGGGAACTATATTTATTTGCTGTTTTGCTTAGGCCCTTTTTTTGGAACAGGAAGAGGTTCTTGCCATTAGCGTTATGCTAGAGGTCAATATGCTCAGAGTTTTGACCAAGTTCAGACTAGCAAAGGAAAGGCAAGTTTGTATGGATGCTTTGCTTTGTGTACATTTTATCTACTTGAGTCATATATAAGGCTGCTTTTGAGATGATTTAAGAATAGTATTTTGCTGGCAATCAGTGGAAAGCAGATCATATTCTGTCATCATTTAAGGGAAAAGGCATCCTACTTTTATACAAATTTGATGCTTGAATATATTCTGTACGCATTTCTTTTTTAAGTTTTGTCCCCTTCTGTTTGTGTCCCAAAGATTTGTTGTCATTTGTGGAATTGGACTTTGAGTATCGGGACTGAATAATCTTTCATAATGGGATTTTACAAAGGTGGCAGCTGTAAGTCATGACAATAAAAACATTCAGAATTTCCACTAACTGGTCTGTTTCCTTTTTTAAAACATGACTATAAAGTAAAACTCCATTAAGAAAAAAAAGACTTAAAGGAGATGTTATTTAAAGCGTAGTCTAATAGACGATGAGGGAAAATATTTGAGTTTCTTGTTTAATGGAGGGAAATCTTGAAAATATAGACCTTCAGAGAAGTGACTGCAAACTGTGCACATTATTAGCTGCCCATATTTACTGTCTCTTGGTTTCAGGATTTTCCAATCAGATTATATGAGATGCCTATTCTTACTGGGTAGAGAAAAAGGTGACTGGTGATTAATAAAAAATGTGCTTTTCTGAAAGCTTGTTCATTCTACTTTAATGAGCTTCAATTAGGATATAATTAGAATGCAAATATTTTCTTAATTCTATCTAGAATATCCAACTGGGAGCCTGATGAATGTATGTGCATCATTCAGTAGCAAAAAAATCTGTACAGTATCAGCATGAAATTTGCCACCACAGTTAAGCAATTCCTGTCCTGCTTCTGTGGCATCTGTTCTGGCTCACAGAATGGCACTGCTTTGATTTTATGTATGCAGTACATCACAACCAAAACAGTCGGATGATTTTTCTGGCTGTATTTTCTCTTCTGCATATCTGCTAGTAGGAAAAATAGCCGGCAACCAAGGCACTACAGGAAGAAGTGGGGAGGGATAATCTGGTTGCAGGCAGTGTTTCTGTAGGCTGACTATATTGTATTATATTGTAATCCATACTGAAGTTAAAAGGTCACTGCAGAAGCTGACTTTTTTCTTTACTTCCTTTCCCTTCAATAGGCAATACATGTGAACTTTCAGATTGCCCTGCTATTTAACCAGCAAAGAGGCAAAAAGTACACCAATGCCATCATTCTGTTATTAGATTATTTCAGCCTCACAGTAACCTGGTAAAAATGATAAGGTCAAAGTATTGCTAGCTGAGCATCTAGTCCCGTCCTGTTGTATAATTCTGACAAACTACCGGCACAGTGCTGCTATATCTTGCTTTTTAGGGAGACAACAGAATGGCAGCAGGCAATGTTGACTAGAAAAGAAGGAAGAGGACATGCCCAAAAAGCTTGAAATAGGCAATAAGCTTCTTGTCGTTTCCATCAGTATTGACAACCTGATTTAACCTCTAACAGTGTTTCTCAACCTTGGCAACTTTACGATGTGTGGACTTCAACTCCCAGAATTCTCCAGCTAGCATTGCTAGCTGGAGAATTTTGGGAGTTGAAGTCCACACATCGTAAAGTTGCCAAGGTTGAGAAACACTGCTCTAAAACAATAGGTGACAAATAGATTTTATACTTTGTGGTACCTATTGGGAAATGAATGTGTGCTAAAACTATTCCGTTTATCAGAATACTTAACATAGTTTTCCAGTGCTGATCTTAAATTTCAGTAGCAAGAGTTCCAGGATACAAGATAAGGTGATAATGAAATTTAAGGCAAAAATACCTTAAATATCAGTCGCAACTCTCAACCAACTTGTCTAACTGTGTTAAGTTAATCTATTTACTCGATGAAGAGGTCTTAGAAATTCCAAAACTAGCATCTTATTTTCTAAAATTTAGGTTGCTCTAATAAAATCCTTCTACATTTTTTTTCTTTTAGCCAATATAATTGCTTCATAGCTGATTTAAACCTTATTCTCTCTAGCCTAGATTGTAAGAGGAATGAGGTGTTAAATTTTTGTCCAGGCACTGAATTCCAGAGTCTGAAATGCAACTCAAATGTTTGTAGATATTTTTAAAATATAAAGATATGTAATTCTAGTTGAAAACCAAAAGTACAATTTCTAAAGTATCAAGCGAATACAGGGTACAAAGTCCTACTCCCTTTCAGCTGAATACAATGAAAGTGTTAGAATGTAGTGATTTAACTGAAAAATAAATTTTCAATAAGCAGGCTATTAGCACTGAACTGATCTACATCTCACTAAACATTTTTTGTAGTTAAGTTTTTATAAAACATGCAGTTGTTTTATAAAAATATAGAGAAAGCTTGTAGTAATCGAATCTTCAACCATACTTATTATTTCCAAAAGAAATGTGGTCCCTCACTTGTGAAAGATTCCAATTAGTTCCAGCCAGCACAGTAATAGCTGAACTACAATTCAAGATCATACCCTTAGCAGCAATTCATTCAAATGTAGAGAGACAGTAAAAGCTGTCAATGTGAAAGTATTTAAGACTCCATTTCCACTGCTTCAGAATGAAATCTGATGGTTACTCTAATAGACATGAAGGAGGCATCTGGCATTGAGGACAGCATAGCCATCATAAGCTGGAAAATTTCAAGAGATTTAGAGTAGCAGTTCATTTCTTATCTAAGCCCCATTTTAAACATTCTTTATCAAAAGCCCAAATCTGCCACTTGCCTAAGTTTTTTTTTTCAGCCTTTTTTTTAAAGGTTCTGGATCTTAAGTATTTAAAATTCTCATCTCTCCCTCCCTCCCATATGAAGTGCATTTTTGGATGTGCCTTGCTCTTTTATTTTAAAGATATATGAAGCTTCAACTTCAGAAGCTGTGAACATCAGCAATGTCCATCTACCCTGAGATAACAAGAGACAAGACTTGATTAGCAGCAGATTAAATCCTCTTCCAAAATAGCTGTATGACACAAAATTCACATTCTAAGATGGAAGATTTAGGTCAATACTTCCCTTTTCATAACATTAAGATCTACTTGCAACCTAAAACACAGAAATTGTTTAACCTTCACTCTATTCCTTCAAAAACGTGTTTGACTCACTTTTCAGCTTAAGTTACATCAGACTCTTTCGTGTTTTATCCTGGTTACCTTCTCTAAAGAAGATACATCCAAAGTAACATATTGTATAGACCACAGGTCGGCAACCCGTGGCTCCGGAGCCGCATGCGCCTCTTTCAGCCGTCTCCTGCGGCTCCCTGTCCTCAGCCACCATGTGCAGTCTGAAAAAAAAAAGTGGGACTAAAAAAGGTCAACCAATCAATTCAAACTTTGGTTTGTGGGACTGCCCACAAGCCTCTTTCCTTCTTCTACTGCACGTGGTGGCTGGGAGGATTGCTGGAAAGGTGTCCCGGGTAAGTAGCCGCGGGTGGCCGGTCTCGGGGTGCCTCTTCCCTGCCCGGCGGGTCTCCCCTCGCCCTGCTCCGCCGCCGCCTCTCTTTGGGGGGGTCACCGGGGGTCTTCCGGAGCTTCCCCTCTCCGCCTGTGCCTTTCGGCTGTCTCACGGGCAGCGGATTCCCCTGTGGCGCCTGCCCGGCCCTTTCCCCATCTGCTGCGCGGTCCTCTTGGCCGTCCTCCCACTGCTGCTGCTGCCAGTCGTGCTGAGCAAGGCCGAAGAGGCGGCGGCGAACGGGCAGCCACTTCGCCATGCTGCCACCGCCGCCGCCACCCTCGGTACTGCAGGAGGAGACCTTGGGCTGCAAGGGCGGCAGGTCGTGACCCCCCCTCGTCCCCGCAGCGGCATTCCCCGTTGCCGGCGCGGTCGCCCATGGTGCACCCGGCCTTGGCGCCCTCCTCTTGCGACGGCGAAGTGGCTGCGAGGGCGGCGGCCAGGTGGGGGGTGGCGGGGCCCCCTGACGATGCTGCAGTGGCTGCCGCCGGATCTGCTGCCTCCCGTCCTGCTCCCCCTCCCCGCCCGTTCGGCTGAGGACGTGGCGGGGGTGGCGGCGGGGAACCCCGACGATGCTGCAGTGGCCCCCGCCGTGACGCCGACGCCGGAGCCTCCCATCATCCTCCCCCTCCCCGCCCGTTCGGCTGAGGACGCAGCGGCCGGGCTGCGCCGTCGCCACCGGAGCTGCTACCTCCTGTCCTACTCCCGCTCCCCGCCCGTTCGGCGCCGTCTGCCTTTCGTTCTCTCCTCACCTGGAGAGAGAGAGAAAGAGAGAAAGAGGAAAGAGAGAGAAAGAGAGAGGAAAGAGGGAGAGGAAAGAGAAAGGAAAAGGGAGAGGAAAGAAAGGGGGAGAGGAAAGAAAAAAAGAAAGAGTGAGAGGAAAGAGAAAGAAAGGGGGAGAGGAAAGAGAAAGAGGGGGAGAGGAAAGAAAGAAAGGGAGAGGAAAGAGAAAAAGAAGAAAGAAAAAAGAGGAAAGAAAGAGGGAAGAAAGAGAAGAGAGAGGAAAGAAAGGAAAGGGAGAGAAAGGGAGAGGAAAGAAAGGAAAAAGGGGGAGAGGAAAGAGAAAAAGGAAAGGGAAAGAGGAAAGAAAAAGAGGAAAGAAAAAAGAGAGGAGAGGGAGGGAGAGAGAGGAAAGAGGAAAGAGACAGAGAGACCCTTTTGACATCTAAAATGAAGATAACACTGCATATATCCTTTTTTACCTTTATTTTATATATATACACACAAACACATATACATACATACATACAAACATACATACATACATACATATATATATATTGTCCTTAATAGTATTAAAAACACAAATCCCGGGTATACACATGTGAAATAAAATAAGGTGATCACCAGGATAAAATCATAAACATAAATGTTTAATCTACAAAACCAAGCTTTCGTCAGCCACACTACCGACATCGTCAGGGTATAAAATGCTGGATCCGGGAATCCGTTTTTATGTGCCTGGCTGCCTCTGTGCTTTGACCCTGGATCGGGTCATTGGTCCGCTCATTAGCATCGGCTGTGTAGTTTTTAAAGGGGCCGTTTCTAAAGTTGTCCTCTCCAATTGCTGTTGTTTTCTTTGTGCATGTGTGGGTGCCTGGAGATCCGCTGTTCATCCGCTCCCCGTCGTCTCTCCCCACCCCCTCATTCATCTTAGTTTGCCTCTGTATTGCTGCGCTATCTAGCGTGTGTGCTTCAAGCTCTGTTCTTCTATTTGCCAGCCCTGTTGCTTTCCTTGCCTGTGTGTAAACTCCTGGGGGTTGGTCGTCTCGTTCCTGATTCTTATCGCCCCCCCTTCTCTCTCTCGCTAACGGGTGAGCTCCTGTGTGTGTTAATGGGTTGCTAACCGGGCGTGTCTTTGGAATGGCTCCACTACTTGTTA